AAAAAAAAAAAAAAAATTGATTTGATTCGAAAGCTTACGGTGCCATTGCTTTGGTAATAATCATCCAATGCCCACTGATATTTTGACTGATTCAACCCAAACCAATGCGCCACATGCTCATCCAAACTCGAATGCGCTACAGCGAACAATATGAACATGAATCCAAAGAATAAATGAAAATGCATGAGAAAATTGAAAAAGAAAATCCAAAACCCAATGACTGAAAATAAAAATCTAAAAGTCTGTGTAAACGGGCCAAGGCTCTGTTTGCCTGACTACAAAAATGGGGGAATAACAAAAAAGATGAAAATTTGATGCTAAAATTTCAAGTATTTTGGAGGTAAAATGGACCACTAAATAGAAACTTAGTGACTCATGCTTTGTGCTAAAAATATGGCCTGTTGCTGATTTCGCTTAAAACCTTAAACGATACCGTTTTGGACTTTGGCAATGGCGTCCCAGAATAACCCGAACATCGACGGAGACCGAACATCAGCGGACTTACTAAACTGCTGAGGCGGAGCCTGAACCGGTGGAGGCTGTTGAACTGGAGGAGGAGGAGGAGGAGGAGGCTGCGACACTGCTTTTTTAGGCGATTTAACCGGTGGAGGAGAAACTGTTTTCTTGGGTGACTCGGAAACCGGCTGATATGGCTTAGGGGTAGCCGGAGGAGTGACAAAGACTGTGTACGGTCCGATCTTTCCGATCTTAGGAGGTGGCGTCGATTCCTTTCCAATAGGCATTTTCAAAAAGTAGAAAAACAAAATTGCTTTTTAACAGAGAGAGAGAAGCTAATGCCTTTTTTGGGAATGTTCTTACAAAGAAGAAGCTGTGTGTGTGAGAGATGGCAAGTGAAGTGAAGGGGGAGTTTGGGGGTTTTGAATGGGAATAGTACTGACAGAGGTGTGTGTTCTGTAGGCAAAGCACGGGATTGGATGTTGGTGGGATCTTTGTCTTGCTTGCCGTGTACTTTTTAATAAAGTTTTGGGCAAACTTCATTCACACCCCTATAATTATTTATATATCCAATAGCACCTCTTTCATCTTCTGAAATTTCACTGACATCAACTATTAGAAGTTACAGCTAATGGTGTTTGCAGAGGAGCTTCTTTTACATTAATACCCTTACACAAGGGCAGAACTAGCTTAGCCCCTCTGATTTTTTTCCCCAAAAATTATATACATAAAAATACACAAATTTTTTTATTATAATTGCATTTGTCCACCCTAGATTATTTTTTTGTCATATTAATTGGTATAAATATCTCAATAACTATAAACTTTCGGACATGCTTCAAACACGTAATAGACATATTTAAATAAATTTTGGATATATTGAAGTTATTTTATAATTTTTAACAAAAATTATAAAGTTATTTTAATATTTAATAAAAGTTAGGATCATTATGAAACAAGTTATAAGGTTATTTTATAGGTCTATAATGGAATAAAGAGCCACAATTTACAATTATAAAATTATTTGGATTTTAAAAAAAGAAATAAATTATGTTTAGTTGACAAAATTATTCTAATTAGACCAAAATAAGTGATTGAGAGAAAAGAAAAAAAAATTGATTAGTGAGGGTGTGACTCTCGAGTATTTTGTAACCCTTTAACAACTATTTTATTCTTTAGGGAGATACGACTAACATTTATTTGAAACCCACGTAATCGACAACAATACTATTATGTTACTCTCTTCACACTTTTTGACAAAATTAAAAATTATATTAATGAAGTCTACTTTAGCACTAAGTTTTCAAACCTAGAAAGGAACAATGGTCTTGCTTAAAAAAATAATTAATACTAGACGTAATATATCTATTGACATATTTACTTGTGATATTGTCATTAATTTTATTAGTTGCATTTGTCCTTGTAGATAGAACATTTTGAGATATAACATATATGAAAACTCAGTTAGATAACCTAATTTGTGATAAATAAGTAATTAATAATGTGAATTAATACAAAATAAATATATTTTTTATGATATTGATAATTAAATTAACATACAACGCTTTTTAAAAATATAAAAATGGTCAAGTTGCGGAGACCTTTGTTGTTTTTTCTATAACTAGTTATAGAGTTGTGATTGGTGGGTATAGTAGTTATAAGATTTGTGAAGTAAATGATATTTTTGGCATTTTGAAAGAATGTTAAGTAATGATTTTTACTTTTTAGGTTTTCAAACACGAGACACAATTGTTAATGAAAATGGGTATAAGTGATTTAACAGTAGAATTTAGAATGGGGTGTAGATAAATTTTAGAAGACATTGAATATATGGGTAACTATAGGGGGCATGAATGAAGTTTATCCTAAATTTTTGGTTTTTTTTTTTTAAACTCAATCATTTTCCTTAGTTGGGAAGATTATATATTTTTGCGGGTGNATATAGTGGATGACATTGAATATATGGGTAACTATAGGGGGCATGAATGAAGTTTATCCTAAATTTTTGGTTTTTTTTTTTTAAACTCAATCATTTTCCTTAGTTGGGAAGATTATATATTTTTGCGGGTGTATGAATTAAAGTGATATAATTTACTCTCATTAACTATTATATCCTCGTCTTATTTAATCCACCATCATGCTTGGTTTATAAATTAACTTTCAGATAAAAAAAAAATACACTTTCACATCTATTTTTAACAACTCATTCAAATATAAAATTAATAATTTTAAATATATTGTAACCATTAAAAATATATCTCATCATCTATTCAAGTAAACAACATAAAATATTTTTAAAAATTAACTAAGTACCATATATTATCCAATAAGACAATAACCAAATAATCAAGTACCATAACCTAGCCAAAGTTAACTTTTCATATTTGGAAAAAATTGTTATTTTTAATTGCAATATAATTTAGATGGTTTAACCAACTTTTTTCATCTTTTAGATTGTTCGCATATTTTGGTTGAAGTACTTTGAATCATTTTTTAGTACTATTTTTATGACCATGCACTACACAGGGTTAAGAAGCTTATGGGAAGACAATAGTTCAAAAAAAAAGAAAAGAAGATATTGTGGGCTACCATTATTATTTTTTATTTTATTTTAGGCCTCCTTATACTACCTTTTTTTGGTGCTGCGTTATGGTTTCTATACTCTTTGTGATGTAAAAAATGATGTCAGAGAAGGGGGGGGGGGGGGGGGGGGGGGGGNCACAATATGAAAAATTTTAAATCCTCAATCTAACTTATATCATAAACATATAATTACATTCCAACATCTTCACAAAACATGTTATTTTAATTTCATTCAAATAATATACTCATATCATTCGAGACATTTTATGACACACTAAAAAGACACAAAATTACGTAAACACATAACATACCCAATATTCAAACCCTAAGTTGAAAATAAACCTTGCCAGGAGAAGAACCTTATCGCTTGAAGCGTAAAACACATAGTAGAGACTTCAAAACACCCAAATCATGCTTTAAATCTTGATTACCAAAAATTGTGATTTTGAGATTTTGGTGAAATCTGTGATTTTTGGTACGTAAACATAACTCTCGTTGTGTAGAACACTTTTTGTTCTTAGGACAAAGCAATTCGAAGCACGGATCATTCTAGATCGCAAGAAAAAGCTTGGAGATTTTGTATTTTCTCTCTCTTCTTTTTCTCTCTATCGAAAAACCCAGCAATCCTGACTTTTTTGATTCAATTTTGTCCCGAATCAATTAAATCTCGTCTCGTGTTCTGTTTAATATATTTTATTTTATTTGAATTAATTTTAATTTTAAATTTTAAAAAGAGAAAAAAAGGCATAAAGAGAAACGTTGCTACAAATGAAAGGACACTTGCATTAAATGAATTAATGCACCCTAGAAAGGGAAAAGACATGTATAATGCATTTTTGCGAGAAGCCAAGCAACACATTAAATGTAGATATAATGAACGACCAAAGAATGTTTGTTGTTGTGTGCCACATGGCGAACATTCCTTGAGGGGCAAGTGAAGGGGTACAAAATGAATGCACATAATTGTGACAATTAATAAGCTCACGTGCCTTGAGACACGTGACCAAGAACATGTGCAAGAAACACATGAGGGAAACAATGTCAATCATAATCAAATTGAGCAGATGACTAGTGCTCAGTCCATTGAGTCGAGTTGTCAAAATAGCTAATTCAAATGGATGACCAAGCATAACGTCAAGACATCTGACTTGATCCGAAATGTGTACACCCAAGTACAGATGGTCAAACTGTAGTAATAATTCGGTTAAGTCCAAAATCAAATCCACAAAGAACTATGATTAGTGTTTTGAAGTAAGCAGTGATAAAAACAAAGTAACTAGAAACTTTGAGAGTTTGAAGTTATGAGATTTTCTGAACATAATATAAGATTCTTTCCAATAGGTTTTTCTAGACAGAATATAAGATAACTTCTTAAATGTAACAACCACCCTTTAGTTCGAGGATCAGAACATGTAGTTAATTATTCGGCTTATTATACTTGTGCTTTATAACTCAATTAACTCCTGTGTCAACAGTAAGTTAATCGGAAGATAAAGATGGACTGTGAGAATTAAGCACATAGTTTCAATGCATTTCTAGAAGTTTACAAGAATTGTTTGTGCCGAGACTTAACCCATCTACAAACAAGCAACTGTTTCTACAAGGCATCCAACCATGGCATTAATGTTCCATTCCTTAAATAAGGCACAATAATGGTGAAGATTGAAATGTTGTCTGTGACACCTCTAAAACCGGGGGTTCCATTGACAAATCGTCAACCCGCGAAAATGTCCGTGAGTGTCGTTTGATCCGACATTGCGCAATATTATCCCATTACCGAGATTTTACATCACACATAACACCTGTGTTCCATTAGTCATTTAATGCTATTGAGGTTCAAGTTACCCCAATATATCTCATTTAAGGTCCATTAGTATCATTGGAACTAAAGGATGTATAGCCCAAGACCTTAGAAGGAAAATAAATTTTTTTTTTGGGAAAGCGTACCGGTACGGTTTTCTTTCTGGACCAGACTGTACCGGTACGCAATACCGATACACTTTGCCCAGTTTTGCCTTTTTTCACTTGTTTCCCATTTCCAATCCAATTTTACCCATTCCAACAGCACCTCAAACATACATAATGATGTTATTCACATAAAACTTGATATCTATAAGTTCTATTACACGTGATTTCATACATTTACATGTCAAAACGTGGTTTTAACAAAAGTTTTACAAAACTTCATAACGAAAGCCACATTTTGGTTTTTCTTCATCTTTGAGGCCCCGAATGTGAGTCCTCCACCTGTACGAACCTTGCACCTGAAATGTTTTTCTATATAGGGTGAGCCAACGCCCAGTAGAAAATCTCCTAAAGAGGCTACTCCCCAACCTAAGTGCATATGCAATGTTCATGCACCACATTTGCAACCATTGAATCATTTCAATTGATAACATATATGTTTCATGTTGGAATCTACCATGTCATGCCATGAATGAAATGAAATTCACTCACGCACCTCAACTCAAGTCTTCACCGGCTCTCACCACACTATGCAATACAAGTGTAAAAACATTTATCTTTGATGAAATACATCCAAAGATCATTTTGAAAACAAACTCATATGTTCATAAAAACCAATTCATTNCAAGGGTAGCACAACAGGGTAATTCAATAATTTAAATTAGTCATCCTGACCGCTAAAAAATATCTCAACCCCTTTATCATGGGTTTTATTTAACCTATATAGATAAGTTAAAATTGATTTTTTAAACCAATGCAGAGTAAAATTCGAGTGGGATTTTTGGTTTTTTTTTTACTAATTAAACGTGAAATATATGAGCCCTATTTACTTTTTTATTGTGTTCTACCAAAGTTATCCCACTTTAACCCGCGATCCAAACATATCGAAACTGAATATGAGGGTTTTATTTGCCCATTTGAAACT